CACCTCAAATTTGATGCAGATTGTTAACAGTGGTGTAGTGTATCCAAAACATTATTGGTGCTTTACTTATAGGAATGAGATTCCTTGTATTAGAAAAAAATCTGATATAAGTTCTCAAAAATATTGACGTAAGCTACTATATGTATAGGCATTCAGCAACATTCAGTTAATAAACTTACGATGGACATAATTTTCAGTGATCCAAGGCTGTTCATGTACGATTTTCCTCTGTTAACCGTTCCATCTTCCAAGTACTTTTTAACAAATTCGTCAGCAGGCTGGTACAAACGTAAAAACATCCCAACGTTCTTAACAGCAGGAACTGACACTGCTTTGGCTGGGGTTGATGCCAGTGGCCCAGATGGATGGGAAACACTGATGTAGGCGTATGCTGGGAGAATGTTTACCAAAATCTTTTTGGAATAGTCTACAATGCGTCCGCCGACACTGTTTGGTGTTGAATACTTTACTGCTACTAGCCTCATTGTTTCAAGAGCTTCCAGTAAATTTCGTTTCGACTCATCTGACAGTGCAAACTCTGTTCCTTCTAAGAGGTATTGCACTTGTGCAGCTGTATGATATGCGTGTGGGGCATATGCAGATGCGTAGAATGTCTTGTGATGAAAGCCAGTGTAATCAGGTTTAATAACTCCACCGAAGGCTTTGTTGATACTCAGGGCGTTATCCATCCATCGTTTCAAAGCATCCATATCCCTTTGCCTCTCCTTTTTTTCCATATCCGACTTAGCAGGCATTATCAACACAATCATGAGCCGAAACAACATTATTGTAATCATTCTGTCAGCCGTAGTTCCATTATACTCGAACGTCGATTGGTAAACTTCACCAAAATCATTATACCACTTGGAAGTATTTATTAAGTTTAAAAGTCTTGGTCTGTATTTAGTGTTCCCTTGTAAGACGTCCTTCAACAAGAAAAGAGTGTGTGTGTATCCAGCACCACCACGGTTCATTTCATGATCCAGGGAGCCTATTGCACTTCCATTAGCCCATCCTTGGTCTTCAATGTAGTCAAGCAGTTTAATTATTCTCTCAAGGCGGTTTTTGTTTTCGTCATTTAATATTTTGCGTACTTGGTCCTCTGTGTAAGGTTTCTTCAGACTTTCGAGGTACTCACGGAACTTTTTCTGTCTGTTTGCATTGTTTCCACAAATCCTT